ATGCTGTGGAGAAGGCTAGGGTTTGGGGTGAGAAGTACTTCTTGAAGAACTTTGATAGGTTGGTTAGGGCAAAGACGGTAATAGATCCCCATAATGTTTTCAGTCATCAGCAGGGGATTCCTCCAATGACCTCTTCATTGACACTGCTAAAATGCAGGCCTTCATGGGAGTACGTCGATGAAAGCCTCGAACATGGGTTTTTCAATTAAAGAAAAATCGTATCTACTAAAATTAAATATCAATATTTCATAAAGGTGTTAACATAAAATACTTCGTTAATGGTATTATGAGCTAAGTTAAAGTTATGTTTAGGTTGCAGTTTCACAATATATTTTTACACAACAAACTTTATTAAAAGTATCACATATTAAAAGTAATAGATATGCACTTATTCATTCGTGTTTCACTTTTTTAGTGAGGAAAAACGCTAAATTATTGCTGTGCTTAACTATAAAATTAGAATAGTGATATAGAAATAATTTTTTTATATAATTTTTATATATTATCAAATAAAAAGATATATTTAATATCATGAGTTTTAAATAAATAAAAAAAATTAATCATTTAAATAATACATAAAATTATATAAAAAAAAGTAATATAAAAATATTAAACAAAAAAATTATTTCTAAATTATTTTCCGTAAAATTATGTATATTAAAAACTGTTTTTGATTTTATTTCATAATTTTTTGTTTTTTCCTTCCAGATCCTACGCAAACATGTGAAGATAGAAAGGCCAAATGGCAAAGAGCAATTGAGTGGCAAGAGATGAGGGATGAAGGGCCAAATTTTTTTTTCTTAAAAATGTTTTAGTTAGAGTTTTTTTATTTTATAATTTAAACTATATTAAATCATAAAATAAAATTTACTAAATGAGAACAAAGTTTTATTATTAAAATTATTTTTAATTTAATAAAAAGTTAGTGTATATCAACTTCAATTTTTAAAAAAAATTAGAATTTCAACCTATATTAAGGAACTGAAATTATAATTTAAAATTTAAGAATATAATTAGTTTTTAAATTTAAAGATCAATATTTAATAAGATAGAATTTTAATTACACTAAATTACATAAAATAGCAAAATAATAACTGTTACTAACTGCCAACGACCTAAATAGTTCAATAGTAATTTCCTTCCGCTAGAAATAAGAAGTCCTGAGTTCGAATTGCATGATATACAAGTAAGATGAAATAAAAGATAGGAGATAGTTACTTCTCATTGTACAACCAAGATAAAAAAAAATGCTACTAACTATAACACAATATAAAAACTAATCCTATTAAAGATAAACCAACTGAAACAAACATACATTTTACAACAAAATCATGCTCCCATTTCTATGCAATAGGTCTAGGTATAAGAGAAGAACCTGACTTGATAAATCCTAAGATCTTACCCTTAACGTCAAACTATATGCCTACACTTTTGAATTGTTTTTGGTGCAATCTTCTATTAATTTTAAAAATTTTCAAAAGGCTTAGAACCTAATTTGTTAGTTTTATAAAGTTGAAGATGACTTTGCTAGTAAGCTAAAAGTTTTTTTTTTTTTTTTGAAAAGCAAAAAGAAATTTATTTTGTTTTGAGAGTACAAAGGGTACTCCGAACCCGTTACAAATGTTTAAATTTAACCAACAGAAGGGCTCCAAAATTACATTTACCTACCAAAAAATTATGGGAACCCTTGTCTATCTCTATCAAATTCTACCTAATAGTTGCACATTTCTTAATTTTCCTTTTGCTACCATAGTTGATCTTCAAGTAGCTTGTAGGATTATGGATCCAATTTGATAGGGAAAAGAAAGAGCTGCCCCTTTTACATTTTATCCAATTGAATGCCCTAAGTTGTACCAATTCCAGCATCCTTCCCTTATCCACCTTTTTTCCTCTAAATAATTTCTCATTTCTAGCCAACCAGATTGTCCATATCATAACGAACCAGATACATTCTCATCCCTCCTTCTCCCCTGCTATTTTTAGCATGTTGGAGTGTTGTTCAAACATCCTCCAACAATCTCTATCAAGTACAATCCTAATTCCCCACCATTTTGTAATAAGCTATCCAAAGTTCATAGGCTAATTTATAGTGAATGAAAAGATTGCTAGAGTCCTCATTCCCCATGCCACGTAATTCACACTTGCACTCCTCAATATCCTATATAATACCCCTTTTTAACAAATTAACCTTTGTTGGGATTTTGTCTTGTAGCATTTGCCACAAAAATGTTGAATCTAGGTATAAGCACATTCCATGCTTTTTGTAAAATAGATCCCTGTTGTCCACTTCGGTGCTCCATTCTAAGTGCCTGATATGCTGATATTGTTGTGTACCTTTCGTCCTTGCTATAAATCTATTCTCGCACATCTAGTTTTCCTCTTACTATTATTGTCTCTTATATCTTCTTCTGGAGCTTTAATTCATGTTGCTCTTCCCAGCTATAGAAGCTCCTTCTCCACTGTAGGTTCCACTTCCAAGAGTCATTTTGCGATCCTCCCATTTGAGAGTTCTTATTGTCCTTTCCTACAGATAACAAGTAAAATCTAGGGTACTTGTTAGCTAAATCCCCCCCTCACCACTTGTCCCACCAAAAATTAATGTTTACCCCTTCCCCTATTTTTAGTTTCATCCTTTCATCTAACCATCCTATTTTTTCGTCATCAATTTCACTCAACCTACAAATATCCCTCCACCAAATTGAACCATAGTTAATGCACTCCTTCAACCAATTGTAGCTTAGTTCCTCTCCCCTTCCATACTTCTCAAAAATGACTCTCTTCCAAAGCCCTTTTCCCACCATCACTATTCTCCCCCACCACTTACCTAATAAAGCCATGTTAAACTTCCTCAGATCTTTCACCCCCAAACCACCTTTCTTTTTTTCTTTGCAAATCTATTCCCATTTTACCTAGTTGATTCTCTTCCCCCTTTCAATCCCACCCCACAAAAATCTTTTACGAATTTTATCAAGTAAAAGAATCATACCTTTTGGGTCAAGTAAAAGAATCATACCTTTTGGGATCAGATACAATGACATTCAGAACATAAGGAGACTAGACAACATTGAGTTAATAAGAGTGATCCAACCACCAAAAGATAAGTCTCATCCCTTCCATGTGGATAGCTTTTATAGGAAACATCCGTCAATGGTTTCGAGAATGCCATCTTTCTACAATTCCCCCAATGGGAATTCCCAAGTATTTAAAAGGCAAAGCACCCTTTTTGCAACACAGCACCCATGACATCTTATCAAGCCAATCATCCTACACGTGAATGCCAATTAATTAGCTTTTATTAAAATTAATCTTTAGTCCCGAGACTAGTTCAAATGCTCTCAAAATGCCTTTCATTGCCCTCACATTTTCCTCTTTAGCTATACCAAACAAAATTATGTTGTCTGCATATTGTAGATGTGAGACTTTAAAGCCTCTATTTCCCACCCCTACTCTTTCCAATAACCCTTTCTGTGTTGCAGTCAAAACCAGTCCATTTAGACCTTCTGCAATAATTAGAAATAAGAAGGGTGATAAAGGGTCCCCTACCTGAGGCCTGTGATTATGAATTGTCTTGTTGGACTGCTGTTGACCAGGACTAATACAAGACTTGTTCTCAAGCATTCCATGATCTAATTCCTCCAAATGCCACAAAAGCCCATTCGCTGCATCATAAAATCAAGAAATTTCTAACTAACCTTATCATAGGCCTTCTTAAAATCAATCTTGAACATGAATGCTTTCTTCTTCTTTTTGCTTCATTAATCACCTCATTTGCTACTAGTACTCCATCCATTAATCTTCTTTCACTTATGAACGCCATCTATTGTTCATCGATAATCCCATCAAGAACCTTCTTTAAACTGTTAGCTAGTATCTTTGCAGGATTTTGTACATAACACCAATAAGGGAGATGGGTCCATATTCCTTAATCTTTTATGGGTTATTCACTTTTGGCATAAGGACAATGAAAGAAGTGTTTAGTCTTCTCACCAACTTTTTGTTTTTAAGAAATTCTTATAAGAATCCAAACACATCTTCTTTTATTATCTCTCACTAACTTTTGTCAAACCTGAAGTTGAACCCATTTGGACTTGGTGCTTTCAAGCTACCACACTTCCACACTGTTGTCTTGATCTCATCTTCGCTAAAAGGCGTAGTGAAAGAGTCATTGTCTTCTTAGGAGACTTGTTTAAAACACACCCCATCTAGTTTTGGCCTTTCCCATCGTTCTTCATTAAACATGTCCTCAAAAAAGGAAGAGATCTCATCTTTCATTCTATTGGCTTCCCCAATCTAAACTCTTTTTATTTGTATACAGTTCATTTCATTCCTTCTCCATCTACCTTTTAGACTGTTATGAAAGAACTTTGGGTTGGTGTCCCCATGAACTAGCCATGCTTTCCTTGATTTCTATTGCAGCATGCTTTCCTTGCTTCTCATATTATCCCAAACAACTATAAAAGCCTCTCTTCTTCTCATGATTTCTTCCTTGGATAACTGTTCCTTTTCTCCCTTCATATCTATTTGAGTAATCTTTGTTATAGCCTTGTTTATTCTATTGTCTAATTCAGGGACTAAGGTTTTGCTCTAGTTCTTTAAAGCTTCCTTGGCAGCTTCAATTTTTCTTTGGGGCAAAATCATGCCCACCCTTGAATATTTGCTTTACTCCATAATTTCTTTATTAGCTCCTTGCATCCTTCTTGCTCAAGTCATGGGTCAAAGAATTTGAATGGCTTAGGTCCCCAATCCACTTGTTGGTGTCTAAGCAAGATTGGGCAATGACTTGACATTGTTCTTCTTAAACCCCATTGTCTAGCTTCACTCCATTTAGACAACCACCCTTTAGATAGTGAAAACCTATCAATTCTACTCATATAATCTCCACTAAGTTGATACCATGTGAACTTTTTGCCCACTGATAAAATATCAATCAATTTCGTTTCTCAAATGAAACTATCAAACTCTCTCATCTCATTATTTATGCCTTTACTCCCCATTTTCTCCTCCACCTTCCGTCTGGCATTGAAATCTCCCGCAACACACCAATTGCCACTTCTTCCTGATACCAAATTTTTTAACTCCTCTGACAAAGCTCATTTTCCTGATAACTAGCATGGGGAGTACACATTTATTATACAAATAGTAACCCCCTCAAGACCCCATACCCTTTCCATTCCTATAAAATTCTCACCCTCTATAACTTTGGTCATTGTAAGAGTTTTAAAATTCCATAAGCATAACATACCTCCAAACATTCCACATGCTTCCTTAGCTACCCATTCAAAGTCGTCAAATGCCCATACCAATTTGCAAATTCTTCTATCCATCCCTCCTATCTTTGTTTCTTATATTACTAGAAAGTCCACTCTTTCCTTAATCATTAATTCTCTTAATTATCTTTTCTTCCTAGCACCACCCAACCCTCTAATTTTATAAGATAAATATTCATGGTACACTATCACTAACCTTTTGTTCTTTTCTCAACTCTGAGCTTTCCACTTTCTTTGCTTTTCTATCTCGCATCTCCATTTCTTCAAGATTCTTGATAATTGCCCCCTTGTCCTCAGTAGCCACCCCAATTTTTTTAGAAAAATCCCACAATTCTTCTACGATTCTTCGACTAGGATGTTCCTTCAGCATTTTATTACAATTCTCTATTCCGCTATCACCCACTAAACCTCTTAGCACCGAGTTACTTGTACTTGGCAAAAACCTCAGGATCCCTTCTTTCTCTGCTTGTTTTGATCTTGCTTTGCCTCGATCCCTCTTTCTCGGGTCCATTAATCATAGGAGAATCGCTTTTTAGTACACAGATCTGCATGATTTTACCCTCTTCTTTCTCCTTTTCTTTCCTACTTTGTTTCTTGAACCCATCCACTCTTTCACACTTCTATCTCCCTTTCCTAAATCTGCCCAGAACAAACTATTATTTCCCAAAAGTGTCCTTTTTTCCTCTTATCCTTCTTTTCTTTGCAAATCCTCTTTATCTGTTTCATGCCTCATCCTCAATTCATTTTCCATCTTCTTATTATTGCATGTAGGTTCACCAGCCTATATTTCCTTTTCCACTCCCCTTTCTCCTTTATGGTTTAAGCCTAGACCTTTTGGAATGGGCTCATCCTGCAAGCCTAACCCATTTCCTTCCAAGCTTTCTATTGGATATGTGCTCACCTAGTCCTATGGCCCAATTTCATGCATCCCAACCTCTTCTCTAGCCCCCACATCACTTGCCTCTAGAAACTCATCAACACTATCTGCTACTACTTTTACTGATTCTTTCTCTCTCAGCTAATTATAAGAAAGCTTGTCAACCATTTTGTAAGCTCTCACATCACATCTATCTCCTTCAAATTCAAATTCTGCCTTATACAGTGGGATGGCGATCAACCGTTTATCCATCTTACTGAGTTCCAATTTGTCTGCATCTCTTTTTACTTCATTGTCGATTTGTTCCAAGTCATCGTGTCAACCATCTCCTTTAGGTTACTCCTCATATTCATTGCTATTTGACCAGCATTCTTTATAATCTAACTCACAATTGAAGCTCGACATGAAATCATATCTCATTGAGAACAATTTGTATCTTCATTTTAAAAAAGATGGAGAGAACGAGGTTTAGAGCGAGAGGAGCAGTGACAGGGGAAACTAGCGGCACCAGACAACGGCAAAGGCACAGGCGTTGGATTCCAGGATTGGATCACAAGATTTCGGGGCAAGCTACGACTTTCTTCATTTATAATTTCCCAGAAAACGTGGAGGTGAAAGAACTATGGTACAGGTTTCAGATGTATGGAAAAGTGATAGATGTTTTTGTGCCAAAGAAGCGCGACAAGTGGGGGAAGAGGTTTGGCTTTCTACATCTACTGGGAGTACAAAATGTAAGTCAAATGGTTAGGAGGCTGAATGAAATCTGGATAGACTCATACAAGTTGAGAGTAAAGACAACAGAGGATAGAAGTAAAGAGAGAGTAAAAGGCACAGTTACAAGGGGTAGAACACAGCACAGAGTTAACAGATTGGTAAAACCAGGACAGTCATATGCTCAGGTGGTAAAGGGGAAGGAACAGAGGACACAAAGCTTATCGGCTTCTGTAGAAACACTGGGAGGAGAGGACAGGGTTTCAACTCATCTGAAGAAAGGAACAATCCAGACGAGGCAACAAAACGAGAAGGAGGAAGTGGAATCCTGTCAAATACTAAAGCCCAAAAGAAGTAGGGAGAAGGATAGGGATGCTGAATCTCAGGAGGAATGTATGGAATTCACACCAACACAGGAAGAGCTAAAATGGCTTGAAGGGGGTATGGTGGCCATTCTGAAATCCCTATCATTAATAAACGATATTCAACGAAGAATTGATGTGGATGGGGGGTTGATTACTGTATCACCAATAGGTGAAAGAAGAGTGCTGCTAACGGAAAAAGAAACAGGGTATTTGATTGAGTTTATGAATCTCAACAAAGAGTTGTTTGATTTGTGGTTTGAAGACATTAAACCATGGGACAAGGAAGTTCAGGAACGAAGCAGATTAGTATGGCTTCGTATAGCTGGAATTCCATTAAAGGCATGGATTGACAGATGCTTTAAAATGATCGGAGAATCCATGGGCGAGGTTGTGATGATACATGGTGACACAAAGATGAAGTCAATCTTGTGTGAGGGGAGAATATTAGTTATAAGTTCTGCAGAGCATAAGATCGTTAAACAAGTCTCACTGAAGGTGGAAGAACAGATGTATGAAATACAAGTGATTGAGGAAGAATGGCGCTTCGACCCAGACTGGTGGCTCTCAGATGATGACCGGCAAAGTGAGTCGGCAACGGAATCGGAATTCTCATCCGAACAAAATGAGGAAGATCAAGATTTCGGTAATGCAGAGATTTGTTCAGAAGATGACGTGAGCATGGATGAGGAGCATTTAATGCATGACAGTCTTCTGAATTCAAATTTTAAAAGTTCAGAGGAAGGAAAGACAAGCTGGCATGCAGAAGAAGGGGACGCATACATAGAAGATGGTGCGAGTGGGCCGTCCAAGACAAATGGGCCGCTGGAGGGTAAGGAAATTGGACTAAGGAGTAAGAGTGGGCTTAGAGGGGACTTTAGACAAGAAGAGATAAAGAGAAGTAAAACGAGAGGGCCCAAGGAGGTTTTTGAAAGAGGGTCAGCCACCGACCGAGAGACTGCAATTAGGGATTCGAGGAGGACGCGGAGAAGAAAAATAGAAGACTGCTACCCAGAGAGCTTTGTGGAGATCCAGGCAAAAGAGACACACGAGGAAATTTCAAAAACAAAGCTGAGACAGCAACAAAGAGCTGGAACTCAATTGAGTACAGTGAGCAAGGTAAATCCGGTTGTTAGTGATTCCCTTTCTGATGGGTGTATAGTAAATAGAAATAGGTTGATTCATAGTGAGATGGCCTTGCATGAGGTGAGGACGATGATGAGCATGGGTAAGAGATTGGGCATTCAAATTCAAAATAATGAGGAGGAAGTGCAATCCCGATTGATGGAATTGGAGATGAGGGAGGCTGCAGGGGAGTGACAGGGGAAGGGTGGTAAAGGGTCGGGTAGTAACAAATGGGTGTGTGGGATTTTTTTTTTATTAATGAAGTTGGTGTCCTTTAATGTTAGAGGCTTGGGTAGTGTATTGAAGAGAAAGGAAGTGGGTAAACTAGTGAGAATAGAACAACCAGATTTCCTATTTTTGCAAGAAACTAAGCTAGAAACAGGGGATGATGATTTATGCAGAACGATGTGGAATTCAAATGAGATTGACTGGGTGATGAAGGAGTCGATAGGAGCTTCGGGTGGCTTGTTATGTATCTGGAATAAGAAGAATTTTGATAAGACAAAAGATTTTACGGGTGATGGTTATTTGAGAATAACAGGGGAGTGGGGACTAAATAAGGTGAAATGTAATCTAGTGAATGTGTATGGCCCAAATGATAGACAGAAAAGGTTAAAGCTGTGGGATGAGTTAGAGCACATGATCATTGAAGAGGGAGGGAGATGGTTGCTAGCGGGAGACTTTAATGCCGTTAGATGTCTTGAAGAAAGAAAGGGAAAAACTGGAGAGAGCCTAGATATGAAGAAATTTGATGAATTTATCCTGGCAGCAGGTTTAGTTGATATTAAAATGGTGAATAAGCACTTTACATGGTACAGGCCAGATGGTACAGCCATGAGCAGACTTGATAGATTCTTGATGAATGCAGAGATGTGCAGTATGGGCGGAAATTGGGTGCAACAGGGCTTGAAACGTAATATCTCTGATCATTGTGCAATCGTATTGAATTCAAGAACAACTGATTGGGGACCAAAGCCATTTCGAGTTCTGGATGCATGGCAGCTTCATCCAGATTTCAAGAAGGTAATTGAAGAAAAGTGGAGTGAAATGGAAGTTGATGGATTCGCAGGATATAAATGTAAACAGAAGTTAAAAGAGCTAAAAGCATTTTTAAAGGGTTGGAATAAGGAGGTGTTTGGAAATATGGAAGCTCAGTATGAACAAGCTACCAAACAGATAGAGCAAATTGATATGAAGAATGAGGAGATTGATCTGGACAAATTCGAGATTATTCAAAGACAGGAAGGTTTTCAGAAAATGTGGGATATCATGAAGAGGAGAGAAGTGATATGGAAACAGAAATCAAGAAGCAACTGGGTGCGTGCGGGAGATGCAAACATGCGATTCTTTCATAGAGTAGCAAATGGTAGAAAGGCCCAAAATAATATCACAGGCCTATTGCGTGATGGTTGTTGGGTGGAAGAACCATAACAGGTTAAGAAGGAGGTGTACAATTATTTCAGCAAGCTATTCCAAGGAGACACATGGAATAGACCAAAGCCTTGCGGGGTTAGCTTCAAACAGATTTCTGCAGAGGAAAAACAATGGCTTGAACGACCATTCTCCATCGAAGAAATTGAGGAAAGGTTACGAAGCTGTGAAGGATCTAAAGCTCCAGGACCGGGCGGGTACAATTTTAATTTTCTTAAGTTTGCTTGGGATAGTTTAAAGGAAGATTTTATGAGTTTCTTTGCAGAGTTTCACAAGAATGGTAGATTAGTTAGTGGGCTGAATTCATCTTTCTTAGCTCTAATTCCTAAGAAGTTCAATTCTATGGAATTAAAGGATTATAGACCCATTAGCTTGATTGGGTGTGTTTACAAACTGTTAACAAAAGTGCTGACCAATAGAATTAAAGCCGTGATGCCGAGGATCATCAGTGAAACGCAATCTGCTTTCTTGAGAGGACGTCAATTAGTTGATGGAGTGTTAGTGTTGAATGAGGTCGTGGAGGAAGTTAAGAGAAGGAAGCAGTCGGCTTTTGTTTTCAAGGCTGATTTCGCAAAGGCATATGATTGTGTGGATTGGTCATTCTTGGAATGGATGATGGATCGCTTGGGTTTTGGAATCAAATGGAGAGGTTGGATTATGGAATGCTTGTCGACTTCTAAGATTTCGGTTCTAGTTAATGGAAGCCCAATGGAGGAGTTCAAGGTTGGAAAGGGATTACGGCAAAGGGACCCTTTATCCCCATTCTTATTCTTGATGATTGGGGAGGGATTAAATGGATTGGTTTAGAAAGCAGTGTCGGAGGGTATGTTTCAAGGTATAGAGATTGGCAGGCAGGGGTTAGCAGTTTCTCTACTTCAATTCGCGGATGACACAGTCATTATAGGAAAGGCTGACATAGAGAATATAACCTTGGTTAAAACAATTCTGCGATGGTTTGAACTGATGTCTGGGCTACAGATTAATTTCAACAAGAGCAACATTTATGGATATAATGTTCCAACGAGATGGATAGAAGGATCAGCAAGTATGTTGCGATGTGGAGTCGGAAAATCACCTATTATTTATCTGGGAATGCTTGTGGATGGAAATCCAGGGAATAGGAAACTATGGGAACCGGTGATAAAAAAATTTCGTGCTAAACTTGTTGTCTGGAAAGTTGCTTCGCTGTCCTTCGGTGGCCACCTCACTTTGCTTAACTCGGTACTTTCTACTCTACCCATTTTTTATATGTCATTATTTTTAATGCCAAATTCTGTGATTACTGAGTTAATTCGCATTCAAAGAACTTTTTTATGGGGAGGGGGGGAGTTAAAAAAGAAGATTTCATGGGTGAAATGGGAACATGTATGTCGCAG